AGACCACAAAGCCAGTGAGCGTTGAACTGATAAAATTGTGTGTGAATGCAAATATTTTCAACAAGGGAATGATTTTAAAAAAACCTCAACATTTACGGTGTATGAAGGCCTGGGGTCAAAGTTTGATGTCTAAAATAACAGAGATTCAAATGTAAGGGTTTTCTTTAACTATGACACTTTAATATCCTAGTGGTTGATTTTTTTTTTTTTATTAAAACATATTAACAATATATTTTTCAAGTATTCATATTTTGAAAATTAATATAAAAATGTGTTATATGAAGGTCACATTTTACTATACCTTCATTATTTTTGCTAATTTTTTAGATGCTTTTATGTTAACATTTTATTGTTTTGCTATTGACCCTGAGCCAGACCCAGATATAAATGGAAAGGATGTCCCTCACTACACCCAAAGCCTTAAAACTAAAAGTGATAGTAAAGGTGATAAGGCGAAAATATACTTACAATCTCAGTAATCTCAGAGAAAGAGAACATGGGTAGATGACTGGTAGGGCTGCACGATAAATCGCATGCGATATTTAACGCGCATCTTGTCAGAAAGCCGGTTCTTTAATCAGCGGTAAATCTCCATCACCTGCGTGCTTTCACATTGAGCAGCATTAACTACACAGAGCCGTTGTTCACTGACGAGCTGCTCAAAAAATCGCGCAAATATGATCGTGGTTTTGCGCCGCTCGTCAGTGAACAACGGCTCTGTGTAGTTAATGCTGCTCAATGTGAAAGCCCGCAGGTGATGGAGATTTACCGCTGATTACAGAACCGGCTTTACTGATAAGATGCGCGTTAAATATCGCATGCGATTTATCGTGCAGCCCTAATGACTGGTTAATTTTTTCAATGATAAAACTGATAAAAGGCTCTTATATGCTAGATCAATGCTCTAATATTTTTAAGGCCACATTTTCTCTTCCCCAGAAGCTGGAATAATGCAATGACTAAGACTAAGATGACTAATTCTTTACAGATATGTCCTGGTTATGTCCTGGTCCACACGTGGGCCTGAAAAATCATTGTATGAATGGGGACTCGGGAAATTCCTGGAAATGCAAGCAGAGTCAGAAGATGTGCAACTAAAAAGTGGATTAGAGTTAGTATTTTGAGTCATTTAGACAAAATACCGACTCAAGTCCCCCGCTTTCTAGACCATCACTAAGTACAGGATTCAGTGACGTTAGAGACTAGAGCTGATCTGCGCTTCACGGCACACGTCTGCAGCGCATTAAAGCCTGTGTTGCGGCCACCGGAGCTGATCGCGGCCACTCAATGCTGGTGTTTACCGTCCGCGCCGCAGCCCAGAACTCATGCTTGTCACATCGGTCACATTACATCGCGCGCCGTCCAGTGTAGAATAGAACCCATTATGTTGTCTACACCGGATTCAGTAAACTGATGCCTCGTTCTATTTATGACGTGCTGACAGAAGTTCAAATGATTTTCAACGGTCGCTTTGACGCGTTCTGTTGCAGCGCAGACACGGTGTCAGCATAGTTTGTCAGTACAGTCAGTAACGTAGCAGATTGAAAAGTTAGTATCTTTCTGCAGTCCAATAGACGGCAGTTTGCTACATTAGTAGGGCCCTATGATTTCCGCGATGCAGAAAACATGGACGGAATCGCGGAATCCAGTCATAAAAACGGAATTTACTGTATAACGCGGAATTTCATGGAATTTGTCTTATTTTTGATGAATAAATAAAAAACAGGTCAGTACATATATATATAGACTGTGTCTGTGAATAAAAAATGTGTTTATGTATATATATTCTGTTTATGTAGGCTATATACTGTATTCTATATACAGAACCAGTCAAAAGTTTGGACACACGAATGGGAAGTGTGTCCAAACTTTTGACTATACTGTACTATAATATAGCCTACACATAAAGAATATCGGCAGATATATCGGTATCTGTCTTTTTTTACTCCCTAATATCGGTATCGGCCCCCAAAAAACCCATATCGGTCGGGCTCTAGTACAGTTTCATTGTATGGTCTAAGCAAACACAGAGGGGATTCGCAGCATTTTAAATGAAAGGTAAGTGATGACATACTGCTCTTTCAGTATGAATTGAAAGATGCATTTCATCTCCGTTGTTTCCAGCTGTAGTTTTTCCACATATCAGTTACACACTCCTACACTGCACCTGTCAACAGAGTTCAGACAGTGACACACACACATAATACACACAGGATATGGTCTTCTATCTGATAATGACCAAAGAAGCCAAATGCTGCAACCGCAACAGCAGCCACAAGCACATGTACACCAACAGCATGTGTGCACAAACAGCTCCTGTCAGCTAAAATGAAGTTTTGTCTCTGCCGCATGACCCGACATGACTCTCCATTTAACAACCCGTCTGACCCTCAAGCTTCCTAAACAATAACTGAAGTCAAAGTATATGAGGGACTATTTTCAAACATGCAACTTTACACTTCTCTGGAGGGAATGTCATGAAGAATCCTTTGCTAAACAAAAAGCACATTTTTAAATTTTGTGAATTTAATTCTTTTTTTTTTTTCTTAGCGAAGCTTAGCTTTTTGATTCATTTTAAGAAATTATATATGAAATGTATATTAATCCAATTAAGTAAAAAATAATATTATTTTTATTATTAATAAATATTATTATAAATAAATATTAATAAATGTTATTAATAATATGAATATATATATATATATATATATATACAGTATATGTGTGTGTGTGTGTGTGTGTGTGTTTAGTAAATTAGCATTTTAAAACACCAGTGTATTAAGAACTATGAAATAAAAAGTTCTCTGTGCAACTTCTCCTGTGGAAATAGGGCTATAAATCACATTCTAACTGGAACCTTTTATGGAGCATTCTAAGCCGCTTCAGTAAGAAAACATCTGCTAAGCACATAAGTATAAAGCAAATGTTTCAAACTCACTGGAATAAAATAAGGCTACCGTTCCAACATGAACATAGGGCTTTCTCACTGAGGTGAGGGGTTAAAGTCAGAGTGAACAGTGCTTTCCGCAGTTACTTAAAGCTCATGAGTCACCACTCAGTCCAGTCAGAACCTCTCACACACCCTGGCAAGGCTGCATGGTTGCTGTGGAAACCAAACACTTCCAAACAGCTCAGCTGAATGTACGAGTCAGTCTGCATTAACCGAGTGATGGACGCTTACAGGAACTCATGAGGGCTACTGTAACCCTGGGACACAAATAATTCTATCTCCTTTTGCTGACTTCCCCCATGTGTATAACCACAAAGCTTATGAAATGAATATGACCACAAACCTTATAAAATGAATGAGAATGACTCATATTGGCTTTCACTAAACTCTCAACTTGTCTGGCATCATTCAGTGAAGGCGCATCTTCAGCCTTGATATCTATTTGTCTTTGAACCACACCCTTTTGGGATCAACAAATCTCTTGCCTAAACCAACGCACTGACTAAGTCTACTACCATAGAGACAGCAAGATAAACAATAGATTATAATAACAATCACTGTGACTCAACGACAACTACATAACAACGCTTCTTAATAAACTATAAGCATCTACAAACTTTTTTTTTAGTGGTGTTGAATAGTTTGAGATGGTTCCTCTGTGGAGTTTGGATGTTTTTAAAGTACTCGGATATGAGGGAGTTCAAGTGCAAAGGACAAAAGCATGATAATTAAGTTACTAGATTTTATGATGCGTAGTTGTTGTTTCTTAGTTTTATTGCGAGGATCTTTTCTCTTACATAATGTGATTAGTTATTGCCAAACTATGTTTGAGAATAAATACAGCAATTTACAAAAAATTAAAATTGACAAAATATTACATTTAATATTGAAGACTGACAATATCATTTATCAACCAATATTCAACATTTTTAGATTACTTTTGCTGTCATCTACCGCTTACTTGAAGTTAATCTTCAACACTTTTAAATGTAATCTTTAGCAAATCTCAAAATTATTATTTATTTTTCATACTTTACATTATAATTAGGGTTAAAATTCATTTTAACCGGTTAACTGACCGTAAGAATTTTAACAGATTAATACAATCAGTTAAACGGCAAGAATCCTGAAAAAAATGTATCATGGTTTCCACAAAAATATTAAGCAGCAAAAGCTGCTTTAAACATTGATAATAATAAATATTACATTGATAATAATATTAACATAATAAAATGTTAATATGAGCAAAATTCTGAAAATTCCGCCTTGCAATCACAGGAATAAATTACATTTGAAAATATATTAAAACCATTGATCTATAATAGAGAAAACAGTTATTTTAAATAGTTTACATTTAAATTAAAACAATTAAGGTTTAAAATTTTCATAGTATTACTGTATTATTGTTCAAATAAACTAAGCTTTGCTGAGCTCAAAGAGACTCGCCGACCCCAAACCACAAGGTTTAAAATCGCTGTCATAATACTGTACAATGTAGATTTGTTTTCCGTTTTAATTATTATAATTGAATTTTAAAATGCTTCAAACAGACTAAGCACTGAGCTGTCAGCCTTAGTGACAGGAGCAATAAGCAGATGTAAACTGCAGAAAACTGCCATCATGTTTCAGGTAAATTTAGCTGAGGACTAGGCTGAGAGCCCAGGGGTTGGCACCGTTCTGCATTTTAGAGTTAAACTTATCTCTTGGATGTGTGGAAGGAATTACAGGAAAAGAGGGCAAGTCCTCATATTAGCCAGTGTTTGCAGCTCTTCTGTGTCACTGATTTATGATCTGTAAGCCGCACCATTTAGAAACTAAACCTGGTGGAATTTTTGTAGGTTCCTGTGTGGAATGAGTCATGGTAATTGCTACTGCTGACTCCAGACTTGGATTTACTTACTGCAATAGCACTGGCTTACAGTTGTAAAGGGTTTGTTCGTCCAAAAATTAACAAAAATCAATGGAGATTTTAAACTTAAAAAAGTGCAAATTAAGTCATATTGTTTTAGAATGACACGCATGACGTGTCAACCATGATCTGCACACATACCTGGCCTTCAGTTCCTTGTAGTCCTCTCGCACCTTGCTGAGCTCCAGTTGCAGTCGGGCTCGTTCTTTGGCCACCGAGTCCAGAGTCTTCCTAGCGTCTGCCAGCTCAGCCTCATACGCCGCTTTCATGCCGCTCAGCTCGCGGCTGATCTCCGTCTCCGACTCTGTGATGCGCATACGCAGACCTGCGTTCTCCACCTCTAGAGAGCGCACCTTATCGATGTAGACCGCCAGTCGGTCGTTCAGGTTGCATAGATCTTCTTTCTCCTGCAGCCGAGTGATACGGTTGGGAGAAAGAACGGTGGTTGTCCCTCCGCGGGTGTTTCGTTTCTGACCTGGAGTCTCCATAGCTGACTGGAACGGCTGCTGCTAGCCTGAAACTGTACAGGGAATAGAATAGAATAGAATAGAATGGGAGAGACATATTTCAGAGGTGATACGGTGAGGAATATTTTACAGTCACAGTCCAACAGTTTGAAACTGATATGCAATATATTTATGGTAACAAAAAAATTAATATATGCAAATTATAAACTCCAGCCCTCCTTTCCGTTCCAACCATCCCTCTCCTTCACTTTGTGTCTTACTGTTTCTGCCACGCCCAACCTCTGATCACATTCAAGTATATTCAGCACAAACTGCCCCAGAATAAGCATTTAGTTCAAATCTCTAACACGTTCACTTCTAAATAGACTAATCTGGTTTAGATCTAAACGTCAGACTGGTTTAGAATGCATTCACTGTAACTTACCTTGGATAAGATAGACACAAATTTTGACACACTTTAAACACAACCAGCACAGACACGCATGTCAAAGTCCCATCCACAGGAGCTCTGATCACATGTTTGTTTTGGAACATGAAGTAATTCCAAACATTACATTGTGCTTAGACGGCACATGTGACACTCCCCCTAGACACAATTACAGGAGTGACCTATCTTTTACTGTGCAATGCTAAAAAAAAAAAGCTATGGAAAAACACTAATTAAAAATATATTTGGGCCCTGAGCATTCACAGTTTGCAGTACTGCTAGTCAAAATGCCTGAATCACTGACCTGGTAAAGTTAAGAGAGAGTTTGGGTTACTGAAGGCTTCTGCGGCTGCTGTGTCCCGTTGAAACTCTGCAGAGAAAGTGTCTGGTCTGACTCACACTCTTAGTCTCTGGCAGAAACTCACGCCTCTCAGGGACGAGAGAGGAGGAGAAGCAGAAGAGCAAGTGAGGGAAAGGGGGGCGGAGCTAGTGAAGAAGACCCACACAAGGGAATAGAGCTTTTACTGTATTTCACATTGTCACAGAAAAATCTCGGCGTATCATTTTATTATATAATCTGTAACTTGTGAGATAAGCAATCTAAATGACAGTAAATTAAATCCCTTCCTTTCTAATAGCTAATCCACAGCAAAACAAAATCAAATCAAATATATAATAAAATAAAATAATGTCTGACCCAAAGCCAATAAAAAATTCAAACTACAAAAAAAAAATTTGTTAATTATAATAAAATATTTAAATAAATAAATTAAATAAGTAAAAAATTGAATCGATATTTTCACATAATTAATTAAAGTTAGTCCATAGAGTTCTCCAAAGATCTACTTATCCAAACATATGAACCAAGGAAAATACGTCCATCCTAGAAACCCAGAATACATCCATTTGCTGTTGCATGAAGTTTTAAATGGGAAAGTCACAGAAAACAGCCTTATATTAAAAACTCTGCCTGGTATTTATTTCGGAGGGGTGGACATACTAAAAATTATCCAATCAGGTGTCTTAGTAAAAGGAGAGAGAGAGAGAGCGAGAGCGAGAGAGAGATGAGAGTGGGTTAGATGAATCCTTTATGGGAAGGAAGCCTGTGCTTCAATTCACTTAAACACCACTAACTAGTCACCTTTCATCAACTCTTTGGTGCATATTAGGGTTCAGGATCAAACCTGCACATCAATGTTATTCACCCTCAGAAAAAAGGTACGAAAGCTGTCACTGGGGCAGTATCTTTTCAAAAGGTACAAATATGTTCCATTTAGGTACTAATATGCACCTTTAAGGTACTTATATGCACCTTTAGTGGTAAATAAGGTACAAAGGTGTACCGGCCCGGTGACAGATTTCGTACCTTTTTTCTGAGAGTATTGTTAACTAAAACTATTTAAAATCCTTTTTGTTAATTGAAATGAAGCTGAAGTAAAATACTAATATTAGATCAAATTAAACTAACTAAAATAAAATAAGTTTAAGGTGAATTACTAAATTACTAAAACTGAAATAAATATAAATTAAGGCTAAATAGAAATACTGAAAAAAGGAATAAAAATGACAAACGCACATAACAAAATTACTAAAACTTAAACTAAAATTTAAATGAAAACTGAAAATATAAAAATAAAAGCTAATCCAAAATATTAATATATACTATAAATAATACTAAAATAACACTTCTGCACAGTCCTAACATGTGAATGTACCGTCAGTATGCATATTACAAAATGTATATCTATGCATACTAATAATTTAGGGTCCTATTTATTTGTGCACAAAAACTCTTCTAGAAACAGCATCGTGAGACAAGATGGCATGAGAGACAGCAAAAAAGAAAAGAAAAAAAGCAGACAATCCTGGCACAAGCGCATGGGCAGATCAGTGGAAAAGTCCCAGCAGATGCCAGAACACAGAGAGCTGTGTAAATCTGCAGGATGAGCCTGTCTGTTCTGCACTTTCTTTTCTCCTGTTGTCTCTCTTTCTCTGCCATCCTCGTCGCATTATTACACACAACCACCGCATTCCAATATAACAATGAGATTCCCCAGGGTAAATGTCTCTCCATCCCGAGTGCTATCTCAAAAATCTGTGGGAACTGCTGGGAAGTCATGACACAAGTATACCCAGATAAAATCTGCAGACTTTGATGCAGTTTTGTTAGGGAAAACCTGCAGATTTTTGTGGAATTCTGTTGAGATCTGCTGGTGAGGGTCTCAAGAACATGACTTGGGAGGTCAAAGGGTGGAGATTTAGGACACATTTAGCAAATTACAAGACATGACAGGTTTCATCCAGAATGTTTTCACAACATGGAATTCAGACACACTCACTTGGGTCGCATTACACTACTAAAACCTTGTTAAAATTACATAGCATTCATATAATTTTCAGATTATTTTAAAAAGTCATCAAGGACATTGTGATTACCTGTAACGTTAAATCACAATATTACATAACACACACACCATACACTTTCTACTGCGCTCCAAATGACTAAATCGGGTCTAAAGAAGAGAACACCCTGGAATCAACTAGGATATATTTGTGTAAAATTACAGGTTGTTAAAACTGATGAGTCATGCATTGAGAATGAACATTGAAATCATTCTATTCATAAGCACCCCACAAAATACCATTGCTATGGACTAGAGTAACCACCGCAGAAGATGAAATGTTTGAGCAAAAACAGTTAGGGAAATAGTGACTCACTGTTGCCGAATCCCAAGATCAGGAAATGTTTGCATGCGTTCAATGATCCACCATACGCTGCCGTCTGGCATGGGCCATAGCAGTGCAGATGGACTGTACAGCGCCCTCTACCGACCACTCAATAGAAACGCAGTTTTCAGAGTTCATTCTCTGACAAAAAACTAGCATGGTGACCAAATACAAGATAAGCCAAAAATACAGGAATTCATACCGTTATTGTCACTTGCGCTATTGTTCTTCCAACTACATTAAATAAATATTGGATTTGCTTTCAGTGTTTACACTACATGCTATTACTATTATCTTATTATACTTGTTATCTACTACTTATTATTATCAACGCTAAAAAAAACAGTTGGGCTGCTTATCATTTTTGTGGAAACCGTGATACATTTTTTAGGATTTTTTAATTGAATAGAAAGTTCAAAAGAACAGCATTTATTTGAAATAGCTAGAACCTTTCTGTAACGACGTCTTTAATACACTTTGTCAATTTAATACATCTCAGCTGAATTTTTAAAAGTATTAAATTCTTTAATAAATAAATAAATAAATTACTGACCCCAAATTTTTCACCGGTAATGTACATGTAAAAAAATAAAATAGATAGGCCTATAATAATTAATTTTGGTTCCCATATTTAATTTACTTAATGTAGCTAATTAAGTACATAAATGAATAAATACATATACTGGCACAGTCATGTGACTAGAGGGGTCCTCTTTGTGATACTATTTTGCTCTTTTCATTGGTTTCTGGTCATACTAACTTTATTTGGTTGACAAAAAAAAAAAAGAATTACTATTAATATTTTACCGCAAAACTGCATTTATCCTTATGGTTTAGTATTCTAGTGACCTCTGCTGCTGACGACGAAGAGTCTCACTCAAGACTCCACCAGCTTCTCAGGTTCACTGAACTACCAAGTCTCTCCAGCCGGTGGCAGCATTAACACAGACAGTGCCACTGAATTGTTTTGAAACTCTCGTTACTCTCAAACGCAATCACTAAAAGAAAATGTTTAGAAAGAAATGGCATATTGCAAACGAACAGCGTAAAAAAAATACAGGACACTTCCATCCAATACGCCTCTGTCATGATGATACATGATAATGAACATTTATTTTACCATAATTACAAGTATACTTCATCACCTGACAGAGGCAGTCCACCTGCTCATTTATAGAGTTCACTGTTCTTCAATAATTACTCTCGTTCAATACATCCACTACTGTTCAGTGTTTCCATCTTGTTTTATAATAGTTTTAATTGTGATTGTGTGGTAGAATAAAGCTTTGAAATGTCTCTGAAACCCAAAAAGTTAATTTATTATTTTTTATTTTTATTTATTTTTTCCCAAGTAGAGATGGTAATGATGGGTGTTCAAACTGAAAAGTTATGCCCGGGGACCCGTTTCTGTGTGTTTAACCTCAGATATTTTAGACTTATGGGAAAATAGAATCAGAACATTTAAACTGAACTCCTTTATTGCTTTTTAAAAAGACCAAGGTTGAACAACCAACAAGCCACTTCACCCATCATTGATGAGAGCAGGTTTTCTCCACACAGATGCAACACATGTGTAATAAGGTTTGATAAATAAAGGGTGTTAGGGAGGAAAGGCCTTGCATTGTGCTTTATTTGTTGTCAAAAGGAACATGCACATAAATGATGGTTCACACAGCCTTGAGCATTCAAGGATACACAAATAGACAGGCATGACCACACACTGTCTATTAACAGCCAGAACAGAGCTTTTCCGGTGCCACCAGACTGATGTCTCTGAGACATTCCATGTGAAGCAGAGGAAAATTCACTGTGGGTGTGTTTGATTAGAAAAACGGTAAGTAAATGTGACAAATATTGAATAATTTGACACTTAGTTCATCCATTCATGATCAGTGTCTGTAAATCCAACTATTCTCAGATGGTCTTAACTGTCTGAAAGTGGGCATGGGCTTGATGTGGATGAATAGAAGTTTAATTGTCAGGAATGTGGGATTTCTGTCGACATGGGAGGTTTTAATCACAGGCTCTGTTCTTGTCTGGACCAGCCTTTCAAGTTCTAATTATGCTTGCCTTTGAGTTCCCATCACTGAAAATTCTACTGCAGATTTAAGGGTGGAAATACATTAACAAATAATGGATCAAACAAAACAAATGAACTTTTGTGTTTCATGTTTCTAAATGATCCTCAGTAAGAAATGTTGTTGAGTCATGTTCCAAGAGGAGGCTTAGCTTAGATAACTATTTTGTCTTCTTTCAACCTTTGCTTGGAACAGCTTAATCGTGTTTGTCTAACAACTGACAACATTAAAATAAAATACTCTTTTGTTGTTGTTGTTGTGCAATTTTAATACTTTGAAATATCCTTTGGAAAAATGGAAAAGCTACATTATTAGAAGCATTTTACATACAGTTTTGTAATATTGTCATACTTTATATATTTGTGACTTTCTTAGAGAAACGTGATGCTCCTCGGGGCCGAGAAATGATTCATATTTGTGTTCATTATTGTGACCCATGGCACAGTGTCTCCACCTCAATAGTGCTTAAAGCTTCCTTTCATTCATTTTTTATCCTTTCTTCTGGTTCATGTGATCCAGTGTTCTCCACTCTCCCTCACCATCTTTTTACATGTTCTGTAAGCAGTAGATGATAGAAAACCCCCCTTTTTTCTTGATGACTTCATCACTTGAATAGGACACAGTAGAAACATGATGACCTACACTCAAAAAACCCAATCGGGCCCACTGTATGTAATATTATATGAGCTGTATGATTTGTTGTTGTTTTTATTTACATTTCAGGAAGTGTGGTATTTATTAGGGATGCACCATTATAAAATTCTGTCCGACAGAGTCAAGATGATAATTATTTTCATGTTATGGCTGATAAACCAAAATATGGCCATACTGCTGTTATTAAAATTATATATTATTGTCTCTAAATAAATAATTCCGTTTTCATTTTAAGTTTAAAGTTTCAGTTATTTTGTTGTGTATTTTTTTTAATCTATACAGTTTTTATTCATTTTATTTCATTTTTATTTCGTATTTAGTACATCAGGTTAAACTAAATAAAAATGAGAGCAACTAGCTGAAATAAAATAAGTTTACGTTTTGATGTTTTATTTTGCTTCAGTTAATATTTATTTTATTTCAAGTAGCCTAACAAAAATGTTTTTTATGGTTTAAGTTTAGCTAACTATAATAACCTTTTTTTTTTTTTTTTTGATAGAAGTCTCTTATGTTCGCCAAGGCTGCAGTTATTTGATCAAAAATACAGTACTGCTATAAATCAGTAATAATTCTGAAATATTATTGCAATTTAAATAACTGTTTTATATTTTAATATAGGATGGTGCCAATGTGTGTGGCTGTCTGTCTGTCTGTCTGGGGCTCCGTTTGTGTTTTGTTGTTAGCTTGTTTAACTTTTTAATTCAACACATTTCAGCATTATTTGGAATGTAATTTATTCCTGTGAATTTTCAGCTGCCATTAAACTTCTGGTGTTGTTCGGTCATTTTAGACCGGAAATTTTTTTTTTCGAAAATTTAAAATCACGACTTCATCCTAATGGTACGAAACTCGATGACTTAATGCCAGTCGCTATGAGATCACACACACGCACACACACACACACACAAAAAGTGGACTTGATTCGAAAAAGCTAAATGGTCGTACAAAAATACAGTCATGGCCAAAAGTTTTGACAGTGACATAAATTTTGTGTTTTGCGAAGTTTGCTGCTTAAGCTGTTGTGGTGTTCATTCACATTGTTTCTAGATTATTGTGTAGAGTGATCAGATGCATTTTAAATCATTGCTAAAAGCTTCATTGGCCAAAAAATGAACTTTTCACAAAAAAACAAATTTCAGTGTTTTTTGATCCTGACACAAAATGACCAGCTAACATTAATTGACTAATCATATCAGCAGCACGGGTGAAAATGTGAATGAGTACTAGTCAAGTGAAATCACTCGACTGTTTGGGACATCTGGAAAATCAATTGTTCAGAGAAGAAAAGCTGAACGCTATCATGAGTCCTGTGTTGTGCCAACAGTGAAGCATTCTGAGGCCATCCATGTGTGGGGTTGCTTTTCAACCAAGGGAGTGGACTCTCTCATAATTCTGCCCAAAAACTCTGCCATGAATAAAGAATGGAATCAAAATGTCCTGCAAGAGCAACTTTTTCCAACGAACCATGAGCCATTTGGTGATGATCCGTGCATTTTCCAGCATGATGGAGCACCATGTCACAAAGCAAGAGTGATAAAGAAGTGGCTCGAAGATCATTATATTAAAATTTTGGATCTGTGGCCAGGCAACTCCCCGGATCTCAATCCCATAGAGAACCTGTGGTCAGTCCTCAAAAGGCGAGTGGACAAGCAGAAGCCCACAAATTGTGATCAACTCCGAGAACTAATACGGCAAGAATGGATCGCCATCAGTCAGGGTTTGGCCCAGAAGCTAATATCCAGCATGCCAGAGAGAATTGCAAAGGTTCTGAAGAACAAGGGTCAACAATGTAAACAATGACTCATTACATTTTTTTGCCAATAAAAACCTTTAAAACTTATGATATGCTTATCATTGTTTTTCAGTATACCATAGAAACATGTGGAAAAATAATCTACAAATACTGAAGCAGCAAACTTTGCAAAACACCAAATTTATGTCACTGCCAAAGCTTTTGGCCATGACTGTAGTCACATTTGTGTTGCTCGCGGTCAAAAATGACCGTCACTGGAAATGAATGGGAAATACTTAAAAATACGCAAATACAGAGAATTTTTTGTGTGTGCAATCTACAAATCATTCACGATGCAGACAAAAGTGCACAGCAATGAAGGGGTGAAAATAAATTATATCCATTGTATCTTAATAATAATAAAATATTTTCTTCCAGGTTATTTCACATCAGATCTTCAGCTGATCTACAATCCAACAACCAAGTGTGCTCCATCTATCATGAACTCTAGCACTGAAGCTCCATTCACACACCCCACAGACTGCACTGAGGTTCAGGTCCCCAGTCAGGTGTTCATGGCCATTGCTGTGGCCAGTCTAAGTGAGAACCTCTTGGTGATC